AAAAACCTGCTAACAGAAAGTAACAACTTAATGATAATGATAGTATAATGATCGATAAGGAAGCGGAATAGATGAGAGAAATCCATATCGTATCTCCGCGATCGCTCGCGGTAATGAAACGCGGATCACAGGTGATTATTCTTTGACATTTGTTAAAGAATAATTATGAGAAATCCTATACGAATATCTTTATTCTTGATCCTTTCGAGGGTAAATATCCTTTCGTAAATACTCGAGCACTTATACTTACGGGTCACAGTTCCAGACCGTTTTCATTTCGGGTTAAATGAAATGCCGATCGTGTACAGTCTAGCTTTTCGAGTAGACATCGTCTGAATCATCCGTACGAATACGCGTGTGTATTCGCATTAATCACGCGGACGCGATCCTCTACCTTTGTGAATTTTAATCGAAATACGTCAGACAGAAATAGAGCGGAAATAACAGAGTGCTGACCCGTGGAACGCCTCGGGTCACGAACGAGCTACGAAAAGAAAAGAAAAACTCTTTGTTTCTTTTTCAAGAGAAGGGAAGAGAAAGGACATAGACGAAAAGTTTTTGACAACTCGGACACCCAACAGCGCATTCGAGGAACGAAAATGTAAATCGGTTTGAAAGAGAGACAAACGGCTCGTCCGATTAGCATGAATTCGGACCGATCGTTGAGAAATATACCAGTACGTGGCTAGGAAAAAACAGGTTGGATCCCTTCGTTTCGTGAATCACGTGTAAATTACTGTGCATCAGCGGCCATATCGTGACTCGTCGTCACCTCTATCGTCTACTCGTCGGTCGTCGTTGCGAAAGTTCTTTTCCTGTTTGACCATCATGTACCATTGTTTTCAAACATTTGCGACGCGTTGCTCTAGATAGGAACTCTTTGTCATCGGTACGAACCAGAAGCCAGCTGCATTTCTGCAACGACAATGAGAACTCTAATGGCTTCGCGATAACTGTGCGATTTCTCATTTTGCAGGTTCGATCGTAGACAAGAGGGTCGATCGAACAGGTTGTACCTATCTGGGAAATTGAAGTTGTACCAAGTAAACGATGCCGTTGATGTCATTCGCGAGTTCGAGCTATATCTAATGTACTCTTATCAAAGAGTTTCATAAGAAAATGCATTCGCAATCGTCGGCTAAAGAAAATCGTCTATTGTGATACGAATTATTAGAGAATAGAATAAAATTGATCCGAGATCCCACCGTTTCGTTCCATTGAACTTTTCAAACGGAATATATCCACGTCACACGCCAACATCCGGGAATAGTGTCTCAATTGCGCGTTCCAGAAAACCACCCGCATGCCAGGCGCATGAATAATTCCAGAGGACCATTTATTCGAGAAATCAAACAGATAATAATGAGGTTCGAAGAACCAACGAAACCTAATTGGCCAAGGTGCAATCGGGAAAGGACAAATGCTTCCTTCCGAGGAAATTCCCTGACGCGGTCTCTTCTAGGCGGTAATCTCGGGCTGCATGCTAATTAAACTATTAACAAACAATGCGGACGCACAATAGTAATCGAATAATTAACGCTCACATCCTGAAAGCTGATTTTATTGGAACCGCCGGTACCATGAATATAGAAATAGTAGCTCATATCGATAAATGATTCATGCGGCTGCGTAAGGATCGAACGACGAGTTCAAACGGCGCAGGTCGTTCCAATTTAACCCCGTGTCACTCGGCCGACAAAGTTTTACGATCGACGTTAATGTCTGAAATAGATTTGTTTTTCGGCGTCGGATATAATCACTGATCTTCGTTACACGCTATCCTATATA